CCTAACCCCGAGATGTCCTCCTGTTAAAGTATCATGGGATTGACGCAGCACAACTTCCCGTAACTTTCTCGGTATAACCATTTGCCAGGTCGTCAATTGCCAATCTGCAGTTTCCCATCTCTGGAGAAGAATACCATCTTCAAGATTCAACTGGTCCCATTGTGCCAAATAGTTTTTTGTCATAGGGCTTAAGCTAGACACCTTCTCCCAAGCATGGTGCAAAACACTTGCTTTTAGAAAATCTATTATTGGCTTCAAATCTTGGTCTTTCTCCTTGTCTGCTTTAATATCTATACCTGGTTCCACTTCACCATCATCAACTCCTTCAGTCACCTTGAATTCAGCTTGATGGCACCTGGTTAATTCAACCTCTCTTTTATCACTTACCGGAATTTGGCCTTTGTTGTTCCCAAACGCCATTTTATCAAAATTAACTACACAGTTCTTCGGTAGTAACTAGTCCAACCCTAATATGCATTGGTCTTCAATGTCAGCCAAGTATACTTTCTGTCTATTCTTCATGCCCATGAACTCAATAGTTACCCACACTGATCCCCACAACCTTGCATAATGTCCTGACAGAGCATCGGTATGGTTTCTGCTACTCCTTTGTGATCCAGCATCTTGATACGCACAAGGGTTTGCTGAGATGCAGAATCTATGACAAAGTTGCACTTTTGGCCATCCAGCTTTCCTGTCACGTAGACACTATTTGTGCTTGCCATGTTACACTTAGCTATTGGAACTTTCGCAATGGGGTTGGTGGGCGTCCCTCAACACCAACCACTACTGGTTACCCCGTGGCTGACTTATTGGTAATATTCTTCTTACACTAGCTCCTCATTTGTCCTTGCTCTCCACAGTTTCAACAACCTTTCTGGGTAGCAACCTTTCCTGCCATAGCATCTTCCCTGTGTTGAATTTGTCGGCATTGAGCTCTCTTGTGCCCAGGTTTATTACAGTGCCAGCAAAGTCCCTCAAACCTCTCTGAAAGTGCCCTCTTCTGGCCTTGAATCCTGATGACTGTACCAACCTTGGTACCTAAGTGCTGGATTTAACATAGGATTCGAATTCAAGAGCTCTGACCATTGCATCCTGCATAGTAGAGAGGTGTGCTTTACTGTATTTTCAGTTGTGGACTGTCCAAGGCATCTACAATCTGATCTCTCAGAAAACAACTTGAGGAGATCTAGTGGCGCAGTTGGGTAGACCTTGTGTGCCATACTTTCCAAACTCTGTGCCAGCTTTTGCAGGCTCTCCCCTTTAGCACGGACTCTAGTCCTAAACCTAGCCCTGTAGACTTCAAACCGATTTTGGGTTCCATACCTGAGTTCCAGAGCTGCTGCCAGTGCTCTATAGTTGTGCCTGTCATCTGCTGTCAACTGTCCAAGTATTTCCAGTGGTTGTCCCTTCAAGCTCGTTGCCACATATACTGCTTTCTGCTCCTCTGTCCATCCATTCATCTCTGCCAGGAGCTCAAACTGTGCTCTATATGCTTCCCACGGTGCCTTCCCATCGAATTCCTGTGGCTTCCTTTGTACTGGATCACCCCTATTGCTGACATTCATATCTTGGATGTGACCTCTAACAAGACTGAAGATGTCTGCATTAGGGTTTAGCTGTGGGGTCTGGAAAGGGCTTGTCGTTGTCTGGGGCTGATTAAGTCAATGGTTAATGTATCTTCCTTGTGTAAAATACAATAAAT